GTTTTAAATTCGAATTTGTTATTGCGTATTGGTTCGATTATAGAACGATTGTAAACGTTTCAGAAAATTGATCAAATTGAAAATAGTTCGTTTGATTTTCGGCAATTCTCTTCAGCGGTAGGTGTTATATAACAATTACTATGGTTATTGAAATATTGGATGTAAATGGGGTTTGCTTGCAAAACCTCCGCTGACGAAGTCGCGGGTAACAGCTAGTAGTTGTATAATTTAATTGCAATTGCAATCTTAGTATTTTATACTCACTTTTTGTGCAGCTGCAATTAAAGCACCTTCGGTCGGTTGTCCTCTGAGTTGTCCATTAACAATATCAGCATTGTTACATATGCAACCAACCTAATCAGTAAAAAAAAAAAATGCTTTTTAAATAATAAAAATTTGATAAATGCACATTTAAAGATAAAATAATCAATCATTAATTTTAAAAAGTCTAGATATTTATTAATATTGTATGAATTATTTCATTACTCTCCTATTTTGTATGCAAATATGAAACTAATGCATATTTACCTTTGAATTTGTATTTAGGTATAATTATGATGCTTACAATTTTATACAGGGTGTCTCAGTTAAATGTTTCAGAACTTCTAAGAAGGGTAGGGTGCATCCCAACAACTCAGAATCATATAGCAATGCAAGGTTGGAAATGTTTTCCTGAAACGATGATGTACACAGAAACACCATAAAGAAGAAGACCATAAGTGAATATTCATTTTAATAATAAATGTACAAAAACAAAAGGAACATGGGTCAAAGAAAGTGTTCAAAGTTTCCTCCACCGACTGCAATGTAGACCTCACATCTACAGCGCATGGAATTCCTAACATTCTGGAATAATCCAGGCTCATCTCAAATTTCTGCGGCAGCTACTGCGATTCTTCCAACCAGCTCCTCAGCATTGTCAACAGGGGTGTCATAAACCAGTGTTTTCATATGCGCCCAGAAATAAAAATCAAGGCATGACAGGTCTGGTGACTGAGCAGGCCAATGCACGGGACCACCATGTCTGATCAACTGTTGGCCAAATGTGACGTCTACAACACCATCTACTGCGTCAGGAAAGCATTTCCGACCCCACATTGCTAAATGATTCTGAGTCGTCAGGTTGCACCCTACCCCTCTTAGAAGTTCTGAAATGTTTAACTGAGACACCCTGCATATTAACCCAATTTATATGATATTTAATTTTGTTCATCTTGTTAATTATTGATAATAACAATAATGATAAAAATCTTATTAATAATGACTGTAATATATGATTTGTTTCTTTATTAGCTTATAAAAAGAGGAAATTAAACTATCAATTTTATTTACAATGAATTCAAATTTCAAAACAACAGAATGAACTCAGATAAGTTGCAAACACTGTAATTGATGAAATTATTAGTCTGATTTCATTACAATCTTTGAGAGAAACATTTATTAGATATAAACATAACAGTATTTATTTAACAGAAGTAAGTTCAAAGAATTAAAAGAAGAGATTTAAAGGCAAACATGTTTTTATTAATTCTGAATCATTTTTAAACCAATGAAAATAAAAGTTTTTCTTTTATAATAATTTTAAAAAATTATCAATACTTCAATAACAATTTTAAGTTAAGCTAATGTGAAAATATGACAACTTTATTCAATAGTTAAAACTAATTTTTTTATCAGTACCAAAGATAGAATAAAAATATAATACATATACATTTCAGTAAATTTAAATTTTTTCTCAAAACATTAAAACACATTATTCTCTTTGAACACTACAGAATTATATAGAATTTAAAATGTACAAAAATTTTAATAGCTTTAGAAAGTTAAATGCTTTCAAAATTATATTTTATTGAAGAAATGTTTAAATAAGCTTAAAATAAATCTTAAAATTTTGAATACATAGCACATTACTTACTTTTAATAGTAAGCGAATTGAATTAAGTTGAAGATCACTATTTCCTGAGTCAACCAAAAGTATATGACCATCATTATTATAACCAACACCTGTAACCTAAAACATTATATGAAATGTATTATTAAATTGTTTTATGTAAATAAATTAAACTTATATTTTAAATAACTTACTTCTGCATGATATAACTCAGATGTAATAATATTTGTGACAGTCATTTCATTCTTTGTTAAAGTTCCAGTTTTATCAGAACAAACTACATTTACACAGCCTAAAAATTTAAGAATAATTTTCATAACTACAAAATAAATTAGTAATACTAAACCAATAAAATCAAAATTATTTATAAATATTATGTGTATACAAGATTCTGTGAAAAAGAACCCATATGTAAACAAATCTTTTCTTTCATTTGTCATTTGTGAGTGATACAATCTAAAAGGTAGATGACAAATAATTAGGCATTGATAAATTGTCTAGTTACTTTTCATCAACTCTATAGATAGTAATTTTTGTAATATAATGCAACCATAATAGCATTTATGTATGCATGTACATCAATCAATGAAATTTTATAATTCTCACATTGGCAATGTGGGCAGTGACCAAGTTATAGAAAAGATGGCCAACTGCTTGTCTTATTAGGAGCAAGCACAGATTGCTGCATGCTTTGAGGTGTGGAAATTAGTGGTTGCTGTATACAGTATACAGTGTATACAGTAGTTGCGGCATACAGTAAAGGAACATCATGCCACAATCTGTCCAGAAACAATCAAGAATTGTGATTTGAAACTAAAATGAGCAGAGGTTCAGTTATGGGTATACAGAGAAGTGGCCATGCATCCAATCATGATCTGATGAAAATGTGTTGTTATAGACACAGACATGACATCTGTGTCTATATTGTATTTTAAGGCATGCATCTGTATTTCCATTTAATAAGGTACAGTACATGTCAAATTTCCTTTTTCTTTCTTTTGTAGAAATATAGAAATTATAGCAATTTCTCAATGCCAAGTTATTGATACTTTCCACACACCCTATATTTATCTAGTTACAAAATATATTAATTTAATATTAAAATACAAAGAAATTCTAACAGAATGTTGCTCAAAATGCTTTTTAATTACGTAATTGTTAGAGAAAAAAATATGGCCATTTTAACATTTCATCTCTTATATATTCTTTTATGTAAATTTTATTCTTTAATTTCAATTATTTATATTATTCTTTATATAATTTTGATAATTCTATTATTACATTGAATAGTTTGTGTTTTTATATAATTTATAAGTACAGTAAATCCCCATTAACTTGGACTAAAAGGGATGAAGATTGTCTGACTTAGCAGGTTTCCCATGATGTTGAAAATAGGAAGGTGGATAAACAGTACAGTAATGTATTAAGATCAGCTTTAAACATAAGTTTTACTAGACTTTAATAGCTCATACTGCTGAATTTATTATTACTCGAAATTGGCTCAAAAAATATTATGACATTACAGTTTACAGTAATATATGGTCTTTAGTAATTAACCATCTACAGCAGCTATTCCAAACCAGGAGTATGTGAAAAAAATTACTAATGGCAGACATACTAAAATAATATTTGGATTCTACATTAAAGACTTTGGAAATGTCATGGCACTTGAAGCTTAGTTTTAAATTAAAATATAATTATATTTTTATTATATTTATCTGCATCTTTTCTCACTTTTTTGAGTTAAAAAAAACTTTTTTACAGTGCTGTATAATTGACTAAAGTGCCTCTGCTTGAAGAACACGGGAAATAAAACTTAGCAAAAATTGGCTGCCAAGGGGTATGCAAGTCAAAAAAGGTTGGAAACAGCTGATCTAAAATAATATAATGCATAGTATTGCAAAAACATCTGGATATAAAAAACATTGTTAGTTATAATTTCATTAAAATTATTATTTTCTATAGTCAAGAAATTTAAAATTACTACATAATTCTTCAAAAACTTTTGTCTGAGTTAGCAATGTTCAAGTTAGCAGGATTTACTGTATTTGTTTATTCATTAATAAACACAGATTCATCTTTAACTGCATGATTTATTGCTTTTCCTATTTCTAATAATTGTTTAAAATAAATTTAAACAAATCAATGTTCAAACAATATCATACATCAATATTCAATTAAATAGAATGAATGTTCAAAAATCAATAATATAAGTATAAATATATAAATAATATAACCAAACTATTGACTGATTAAATTATTTTGATCAAATGGATAAATATTTATATAAAAATTAATAAACTTTCTGAAATATATCTCATAATTTTATTTGTCTAATTGATATAGACTAAGAAAAATAAAACAACATTAAGGGCTAAAAGCAATAGACTATTCAATTGTTTATCTCATAAATTAGCATCATACATAAATGTAATTACTTGATTTTGTTTCTTCTTTTGATTATTTTAAAACAGTGATGATTTAAACAATATAATGCTTAGTGCAACTCATTTTTAATTCAATAAAATATCATAGGAAAATTTGAGAAAATAAAAGTTATAAATTGTAATTTAAATAAAATAAAAACAATTTCTAAACAAAACTATTGCATTTAAGTGCTTTAAATTAGATGCAAATATTTGTTTGCTGGAAGTGATTCAAAAAAAAAAAAATTAAATATAAATACTTTATTTCATTGTAAATCATAAAATAACTTATTAGAAATTACTGAATGAATGTTCTTAATTTGTAATTACTGTATCTTCTTGATACAGTAGAAATATTATTGTTTCAAAACCATGGTAAGAAAAATTGTAATTGACAAGAGATATTCTGCAATAGCTCATTAAATACACTTATAATATAATGCTGATAATAATTTTTACTTTATATTTCCATTTTGATACTATAACATCAACAGTTAGTGCAAAAGATTACATCTTTTATGCAAACTGCTGATATAACATATTTTATAATTACTATTAAAGATATTACTATTAATAAATGTTAACAAATTTTAAATTCATTACCATTAATTTTTATAATTATTTTTCCACAAAATTATCAAAATTATAGTTGCAGCACTGCCAAAAAAATTATTGTTTAACAAATTATAACCTATCAAAAAATGTTGAGAGAAGAATAAAACCCATTAGTTGCTTGAATAATATTAGTAATTCTTTTTTTACAGAAACTTACTATTGAACAAACTCTTGTCAAAAATGACATAAGAAATTAAAGAAAAGAAATGAAAGGTAAAAAAAAAAATGAAAAAACTACACTTTCATAGTTTATTAAAGCTCATATAGTAAAATATCTTTATCACAACATTTTTTGTAAAGATTTGTAGTCACCTAATAATTTGTCCCTTCTGAATCCAACATACATAAGCTAAGACACCAACCAAATGCCGTAAATCAATCAGGCTATTTAATGCTAAATACTAAATAAATTACTTTATAAATAAATTAATATTAATAAGAGATGGCGCCTAACACTTACCTCTAGTGCCAAATTAATTACGTAATTTATTTAGTATTTAGCATTAAATAGCCCGATTGATTTACGGCATTCGGTTGGTGTCTTACTATATTGGATATCGGGTTTGGAGATGTTTATTTATACATAAGCTTTTTAAGTTCCGGTCATTGCAGGAATTATAATCTTAACTTAGCAATTTTATCATTTTTTGTATTTAGATGTGCACCATTTGGCAAAATTTAAATATTTAACTTGTGGTAGGAAATGTTTTACAATCTATCAAATGATAGGAAAACAGTCATTTTTGCTTACCATTAAGTTTTTGTAAAAATTTTTTTGTCAATTTTTTCAAAAGACAGTGACAAATGATTAAAACTACTTTTATCAGTGAAACATGCATTTGAATTCAAATTTTTCTTACAACAATCTGTTAAATTTTAATAGTTTGTATATTTACAGTCTTTATGTATGTCTTTGAAGACAAAATTAAATTAATTTGAAAAGTGGAATAAACCTTTTTTATAAACCTACAATATGAACTGAACAATGAGATGGAATAAAAAATTATGCCTGTAAATTTTAAGTTGGACCTTAGCACCAGAAGAAATTTATTTTCTGAAATGTAGGTAAATTAAAAAAATTATAAATTTAATGGTTAATCACTTCATCATTAACACTTAACAAAGTGTTTTAAGAAAGTTTTGGATTTGAATATAGTGCTACAGAAATACACATTCCACCAATAAAAAGCAGTTGACATAGAGCTAGCAACATACAGACACATAACATCATACTATTTTATATTACAAAATGAAAAATAAGAAATCAACTTACCTAAAGTTTCAACTGTCGGTAATTTTTTGACAATTGCTTTACGTTTTGCCATTCTCATTACTCCTAATGCTAATGTCACAGTAACAACAATAGGTAAACCTTCAGGAATTGCTGCAACTGCTAAACTGAAAAATATCATTTCTATCAAAATCACAAATTAGTCTTAAATTAAGGTTATTACAATCAGAGATTAAATTTCATATTAATTCTGATTATTTCCAAATCATAAAAAAATTCTTTCTGAAATAAAATTATTCAATGTCTTTTCATTATTAATTAGTTTATAATTTTCACTTGTAAGTAATGTGTTGATTTCTACAGGTTTTAATAATACAATATCTTTGGATGTTATATTTTTATCCATATAAAACAAACAAACACTAAAATTTCAGCATAAATGAACAAAATAAATAAGAATTTATTTTCAAGAATAATTCTATTAAAATGCATTTTCAGCAATGAATTTTATTCAATTATAAGAATATATTTCATAACTACATGAAATTAATTAATTATTTATAGATAAAATTATATGTTGCATTGTAATAATTGTTAAAAACAGACAAATGTCCTTTAACAATCATTACAAGATACTGATCTTACATAAAATCTTATGTAAAAAACGATCTTCATAATACCAAATCAGTTATTTATCATTGTATTCTGTCATTGATTCTTCCAAAATCAATAGTAGCTGATGTTGCAAAAAGATGAAAGACTCAATACCACACAGAAATTTAAAAAGTAATCCAAGAAACCACAAAAAATTAATGAATAGGAACTGTTAACAAAAAATTAAAGGGTATAATATTGCTTTGGAGCTCTCAGGAGTTTACAGAATTCCTTATCTGTAATAACAACATTGTTTATCATATTGGTACTACAACGTATACTTAGTGTTTTGTTTGTTTTTCTGTTCATACTGTTTATCAGTTCAAAGTACATTGTTAAAACAAGTAAAATGACAAAACCTTATTTGGGACACTATGTCTCAGAGACTCACTACTAAGCAGAATCACTTCGATGCTCAAGGCGGGTCTCGTTCTCATTCTCCAATCTTCTTTGGTATTGCTGCTTTTGGGCGTAATCGTTCAAACTTCACCAGCCACAACCATGAGGTCGTCCACGATGCATTTTGGATGAAATTAACCTATCCAATTTCAAAATTTTTCTCCATTGCGTGTTGGCACAGGTTGAATTTTTGTCGATGCATAACAAAAATTTCCTGTTTTTGAAAAAATAATTATGGCTATTGTATCATCCGAAATTATTTTTTTATTTTGCACAAACAGTTTAACCTGATTATAATATCATCGGATGTAATGACAACCCTAATATAATGTCAATTTTTTATTGGTGCCATGATTTTACTACACTAGATAATGTTAAAAAAACCCACTTGTAACAACATAAAACCGTTTTAATGTCATATTTGAAGCACTCCCAAATTTACAAAATTAGATTACAAATTTTATTTAACATAGAAGAAACTACGTGTTCAGTCCTAAGGTCAGAGTTCACTTCTTAGAATGACTGTGGGTGGTACTCTCCCCCATCTGACTTTGGTGGAGTGAGGTGCCTGTTTTGCCTGTTTGTAGAAGAAGGTTGCCATTTTGTATTTTATTTCGGTCCCAACTATATACAAGTCGGTCCCAACTATATACAAGTCTGGATTTTTTTTTTTGTTCAAATGATTTGGGCACCTAATACTCTGTGCCAAATATCAACTCTCGACATGTACTCCTTCATACCTCTATGCTGGTAACATAAAACGGCAGTACAATTTTATAAAAAAGACATAATCTTGTCAATAATTAAATTTCTGAAATTGAATAAGTAATTTTTCTTTTTCTTGGTATAAGAGAAAATGGAGCCATTATATGTCTCAATAATATTATACATAAAAGGAATTCTCTTCCCAGAAAGTCAAGTAGAAAAATTATAAAATCTTTTATTAAGAAAAAATTTATTATTTTTTTTATACTTAATATATTATAATGCCTGAAATATTATAAATGATAAAATTATCAAAAAAAACAAACAAGAAAAATTAATTTTCACAAATGGTTTTGGTACTATCAAAACCAAAACTAGAAAAAGTGCCACCATGAAATAGCTTGAAAATTTTGTTACATAACATAAAACAAAACCTTTAACTACCAGTAAGCTTTTATTTGTTTTACTGAAAATGCACAAAAGTGTGAATTTGTCATATGAGAAACAATTTACAGGTATCAAACTATCATATATAAATAGTGAATTGTCAAATATCAATGTTCAAAAGTTGAGGACTTGTGTTATTAAAATTATTTGCTGATTTATTTATGGCATAGATGTTATGCCTAAGATTTAGAAAGAGATTGGAATGAAAATACTGAGATTTTCCACACAATTTAATAACTATTCCATAAGATTTGGCATTTGAAATATTGATCTAGAATGACTGCTGTTGTTTAATTATTTTATTAGGATTAAATATTTTTTGAAATTTTAAATGTTCCATCTTTAGATTCAAATAAAACAGAACATTATAGAAATTTTTCTTTTTTTTCCTTTATAACATGCAATTCTATTGCTTGAGTTTCAGATTTTTTACTTTCATACTCAGTTAAATAATTAATAAATGCTTGGTACTCAATAGGTATATTTATAAAATTCCTGCATAAGAATTTGCTACACAGGAAAATAAATTCACTTATTTTTCCATTAATTTTTAATCTTATATTAACAATTAACTTATTAGCATTATTTCACATATTTCGTTTTGCAATGATTAAAAAGTTTATCTAAAAATAATGTCAAAGCACACAGAAACTAACTGCAAACAAGAACATTTATTAGTCTGTATATCAACTTCTAAGACCTATAACATTACCTATATCAAACAATATAGTATTTTCCTATAATTCATAAAAAGTGACCATAAAACATAACATACCTAACACCAATATTAAACATTTCCATTATTGGTCTGCCTTGAACCCATCCTATAATCATAATTAAACCAATTATACCAAAAGAATATAATGATAACTGTTTGCCCAAAGAATCCATGCTTTTCTGTAATGGTGTTTTTGGAGCCTAAGAAAAAGAATATCAATGTAATTACATACTTAAAATTTTAAATCATAAACAATGAATTTATTATTTAATAAATGTTAATAAAATACCTCTTCAGCCTGCATCATTTTAAAAACTTCACCAAATTCAGAACTTTCACCTGTACTTATCACAATACCCTGAAATAATTAGAAAAAGTCACTAATTTCTGAAACTATAGATAATAAATATATACGAAATACCTACATATTTATATACAATACATAAATTAATATTTTACCTTTCCATTTCCACATCTTACTAAGGTTCCCATAAAAGCAATATTCTGTCTACTTGAAATACCATTTGCATTTTCTAAAGCATGTGTAACTTTATTAGCTGGTTCTGTTTCCCCTGTAAAACTACTTTCATCTATTGCAAGATCTACAGCCTAAAATAAAATTTCAAATTTATTTTTCAGAAAATAATTCAAAATTTCTCTTTTATAACTTAATTTTATATCATCATTTTTACATACTTTATGTTTACAATAGTTTAATATTTCAGATTAAGANATCAATACTTCAATAACAATTTTAAGTTAAGCTAATGTGAAAATATGACAACTTTATTCAATAGTTAAAACTAATTTTTTTATCAGTACCAAAGATAGAATAAAAATATAATACATATACATTTCAGTAAATTTAAATTTTTTCTCAAAACATTAAAACACATTATTCTCTTTGAACACTACAGAATTATATAGAATTTAAAATGTACAAAAATTTTAATAGCTTTAGAAAGTTAAATGCTTTCAAAATTATATTTTATTGAAGAAATGTTTAAATAAGCTTAAAATAAATCTTAAAATTTTGAATACATAGCACATTACTTACTTTTAATAGTAAGCGAATTGAATTAAGTTGAAGATCACTATTTCCTGAGTCAACCAAAAGTATATGACCATCATTATTATAACCAACACCTGTAACCTAAAACATTATATGAAATGTATTATTAAATTGTTTTATGTAAATAAATTAAACTTATATTTTAAATAACTTACTTCTGCATGATATAACTCAGATGTAATAATATTTGTGACAGTCATTTCATTCTTTGTTAAAGTTCCAGTTTTATCAGAACAAACTACATTTACACAGCCTAAAAATTTAAGAATAATTTTCATAACTACAAAATAAATTAGTAATACTAAACCAATAAAATCAAAATTATTTATAAATATTATGTGTATACAAGATTCTGTGAAAAAGAACCCATATGTAAACAAATCTTTTCTTTCATTTGTCATTTGTGAGTGATACAATCTAAAAGGTAGATGACAAATAATTAGGCATTGATAAATTGTCTAGTTACTTTTCATCAACTCTATAGATAGTAATTTTTGTAATATAATGCAACCATAATAGCATTTATGTATGCATGTACATCAATCAATGAAATTTTATAATTCTCACATTGGCAATGTGGGCAGTGACCAAGTTATAGAAAAGATGGCCAACTGCTTGTCTTATTAGGAGCAAGCACAGATTGCTGCATGCTTTGAGGTGTGGAAATTAGTGGTTGCTGTATACAGTATACAGTGTATACAGTAGTTGCGGCATACAGTAAAGGAACATCATGCCACAATCTGTCCAGAAACAATCAAGAATTGTGATTTGAAACTAAAATGAGCAGAGGTTCAGTTATGGGTATACAGAGAAGTGGCCATGCATCCAATCATGATCTGATGAAAATGTGTTGTTATAGACACAGACATGACATCTGTGTCTATATTGTATTTTAAGGCATGCATCTGTATTTCCATTTAATAAGGTACAGTACATGTCAAATTTCCTTTTTCTTTCTTTTGTAGAAATATAGAAATTATAGCAATTTCTCAATGCCAAGTTATTGATACTTTCCACACACCCTATATTTATCTAGTTACAAAATATATTAAACCTTCGGTCGGTTGTCCTCTGAGTTGTCCATTAACAATATCAGCATTGTTACATATGCAACCAACCTAATCAGTAAAAAAAAAAAATGCTTTTTAAATAATAAAAATTTGATAAATGCACATTTAAAGATAAAATAATCAATCATTAATTTTAAAAAGTCTAGATATTTATTAATATTGTATGAATTATTTCATTACTCTCCTATTTTGTATGCAAATATGAAACTAATGCATATTTACCTTTGAATTTGTATTTAGGTATAATTATGATGCTTACAATTTTATACAGGGTGTCTCAGTTAAATGTTTCAGAACTTCTAAGAAGGGTAGGGTGCATCCCAACAACTCAGAATCATATAGCAATGCAAGGTTGGAAATGTTTTCCTGAAACGATGATGTACACAGAAACACCATAAAGAAGAAGACCATAAGTGAATATTCATTTTAATAATAAATGTACAAAAACAAAAGGAACATGGGTCAAAGAAAGTGTTCAAAGTTTCCTCCACCGACTGCAATGTAGACCTCACATCTACAGCGCATGGAATTCCTAACATTCTGGAATAATCCAGGCTCATCTCAAATTTCTGCGGCAGCTACTGCGATTCTTCCAACCAGCTCCTCAGCATTGTCAACAGGGGTGTCATAAACCAGTGTTTTCATATGCGCCCAGAAATAAAAATCAAGGCATGACAGGTCTGGTGACTGAGCAGGCCAATGCACGGGACCACCATGTCTGATCAACTGTTGGCCAAATGTGACGTCTACAACACCATCTACTGCGTCAGGAAAGCATTTCCGACCCCACATTGCTAAATGATTCTGAGTCGTCAGGTTGCACCCTACCCCTCTTAGAAGTTCTGAAATGTTTAACTGAGACACCCTGCATATTAACCCAATTTATATGATATTTAATTTTGTTCATCTCGTTAATTATTGATAATAACAATAATGATAAAAATCTTATTAATAATGACTGTAATATATGATTTGTTTCTTTATTAGCTTATAAAAAGAGGAAATTAAACTATCAATTTTATTTACAATGAATTCAAATTTCAAAACAACAGAATGAACTCAGATAAGTTGCAAACACTGTAATTGATGAAATTATTAGTCTGATTTCATTACAATCTTTGAGAGAAACATTTATTAGATATAAACATAACAGTATTTATTTAACAGAAGTAAGTTCAAAGAATTAAAAGAAGAGATTTAAAGGCAAACATGTTTTTATTAATTCTGAATCATTTTTAAACCAATGAAAATAAAAGTTTTTCTTTTATAATAATTTTAAAAAATTATCAATACTTCAATAACAATTTTAAGTTAAGCTAATGTGAAAATATGACAACTTTATTCAATAGTTAAAACTAATTTTTTTATCAGTACCAAAGATAGAATAAAAATATAATACATATACATTTCAGTAAATTTAAATTTTTTCTCAAAACATTAAAACACATTATTCTCTTTGAACACTACAGAATTATATAGAATTTAAAATGTACAAAAATTTTAATAGCTTTAGAAAGTTAAATGCTTTCAAAATTATATTTTATTGAAGAAATGTTTAAATAAGCTTAAAATAAATCTTAAAATTTTGAATACATAGCACATTACTTACTTTTAATAGTAAGCGAATTGAATTAAGTTGAAGATCACTATTTCCTGAGTCAACCAAAAGTATATGACCATCATTATTATAACCAACACCTGTAACCTAAAACATTATATGAAATGTATTATTAAATTGTTTTATGTAAATAAATTAAACTTATATTTTAAATAACTTACTTCTGCATGATATAACTCAGATGTAATAATATTTGTGACAGTCATTTCATTCTTTGTTAAAGTTCCAGTTTTATCAGAACAAACTACATTTACACAGCCTAAAAATTTAAGAATAATTTTCATAACTACAAAATAAATTAGTAATACTAAACCAATAAAATCAAAATTATTTATAAATATTATGTGTATACAAGATTCTGTGAAAAAGAACCCATATGTAAACAAATCTTTTCTTTCATTTGTCATTTGTGAGTGATACAATCTAAAAGGTAGATGACAAATAATTAGGCATTGATAAATTGTCTAGTTACTTTTCATCAACTCTATAGATAGTAATTTTTGTAATATAATGCAACCATAATAGCATTTATGTATGCATGTACATCAATCAATGAAATTTTATAATTCTCACATTGGCAATGTGGGCAGTGACCAAGTTATAGAAAAGATGGCCAACTGCTTGTCTTATTAGGAGCAAGCACAGATTGCTGCATGCTTTGAGGTGTGGAAATTAGTGGTTGCTGTATACAGTATACAGTGTATACAGTAGTTGCGGCATACAGTAAAGGAACATCATGCCACAATCTGTCCAGAAACAATCAAGAATTGTGATTTGAAACTAAAATGAGCAGAGGTTCAGTTATGGGTATACAGAGAAGTGGCCATGCATCCAATCATGATCTGATGAAAATGTGTTGTTATAGACACAGACATGACATCTGTGTCTATATTGTATTTTAAGACATGCATCTGTATTTCCATTTAATAAGGTACAGTACATGTCAAATTTCCTTTTTCTTTCTTTTGTAGAAATATAGAAATTATAGCAATTTCTCAATGCCAAGTTATTGATACTTTCCACACACCCTATATTTATCTAGTTACAAAATATATTAATTTAATATTAAAATACAAAGAAATTCTAACAGAATGTTGCTCAAAATGCTTTTTAATTACGTAATTGTTAGAGAAAAAAATATGGCCATTTTAACATTTCATCTCTTATATATTCTTTTATGTAAATTTTATTCTTTAATTTCAATTATTTATATTATTCTTTATATAATTTTGATAATTCTATTATTACATTGAATAGTTTGTGTTTTTATATAATTTATAAGTACAGTAAATCCCCATTAACTTGGACTAAAAGGGATGAAGATTGTCTGCAGGTTTCCCATGATGTTGAAAATAGGAAGGTGGATAAACAGTACAGTAATGTATTAAGATCAGCTTTAAACATAAGTTTTACTAGACTTTAATAGCTCATACTGCTGAATTTATTATTACTCGAAATTGGCTCAAAAAATATTATGACATTACAGTTTACAGTAATATATGGTCTTTAGTAATTAACCATCTACAGCAGCTATTCCAAACCAGGAGTATGTGAAAAAAATTACTAATGGCAGACATACTAAAATAATATTTGGATTCTACATTAAAGACTTTGGAAATGTCATGGCACTTGAAGCTTAGTTTTAAATTAAAATATAATTATATTTTTATTATATTTATCTGCATCTTTTCTCACTTTTTTGAGTTAAAAAAAACTTTTTTACAGTGCTGTATAATTGACTAAAGTGCCTCTGCTTGAAGAACACGGGAAATAAAACTTAGCAAAAATTGGCTGCCAAGGGGTATGCAAGTCAAAAAAGGTTGGAAACAGCTGATCTAAAATAATATAATGCATAGTATTGCAAAAACATCTGGATATAAAAAACATTGTTAGTTATAATTTCATTAAAATTATTATTTTCTATAGTCAAGAAATTTAAAATTACTACATAATTCTTCAAAAACTTTTGTCTGAGTTAGCAATGTTCAAGTTAGCAGGATTTACTGTATTTGTTTATTCATTAATAAACACAGATTCATCTTTAACTGCATGATTTATTGCTTTTCCTATTTCTAATAATTGTTTAAAATAAATTTAAACAAATCAATGTTCAAACAATATCATACATCAATATTCAATTAAATAGAATGAATGTTCAAAAATCAATAATATAAGTATAAATATATAAATAATATAACCAAACTATTGACTGATTAAATTATTTTGATCAAATGGATAAATATTTATATAAAAATTAATAAACTTTCTGAAATATATCTCATAATTTTATTTGTCTAATTGATATAGACTAAGAAAAATAAAACAACATTAAGGGCTAAAAGCAATAGACTATTCAATTGTTTATCTCATAAATTAGCATCATACATAAATGTAATTACTTGATTTTGTTTCTTCTTTTGATTATTTTAAAACAGTGATGATTTAAACAATATAATGCTTAGTGCAACTCATTTTTAATTCAATAAAATATCATAGGAAAATTTGAGAAAATAAAAGTTATAAATTGTAATTTAAATAAAATAAAAACAATTTCTAAACAAAACTATTGCATTTAAGTGCTTTAAATTAGATGCAAATATTTGTTTGCTGGAAGTGATTCAAAAAAAAAAAAATTAAATATAAATACTTTATTTCATTGTAAATCATAAAATAACTTATTAGAAATTACTGAATGAATGTTCTTAATTTGTAATTACTGTATCTTCTTGATACAGTAGAAATATTATTGTTTCAAAACCATGGTAAGAAAAATTGTAATTGACAAGAGATATTCTGCAATAGCTCATTAAATACACTTATAATATAATGCTGATAATAATTTTTACTTTATATTTCCATTTTGATACTATAACATCAACAGTTAGTGCAAAAGATTACATCTTTTATGCAAACTGCTGATATAACATATTTTATAATTACTATTAAAGATATTACTATTAATAAATGTTAACAAATTTTAAATTCATTACCATTAATTTTTATAATTATTTTTCCACAAAATTATCAAAATTATAGTTGCAGCACTGCCAAAAAAATTATTGTTTAACAAATTATAACCTATCAAAAAATGTTGAGAGAAGAATAAAACCCATTAGTTGCTTGAATAATATTAGTAATTCTTTTTTTTACAGAAACTTACTATTGAACAAACTCTTGTCAAAAATGACATAAGAAATTAAAGAAAAGAAATGAAAGGTAAAAAAAAAAATGAAAAACTACACTTTCATAGTTTATTAAAGCTCATATAGTAAAATATCTTTATCACAACATTTTTTGTAAAGATTTGTAGTCACCTAATAATTTGTCCCTTCTGAATCCAACATACATAAGCTAAGACACCAACCGAATGCCGTAAATCAATCAGGCTATTTAATGCTAAATACTAAATAAATTACTTTATAAATAAATTAATATTAATAAGAGATGGCGCCTAACACTTACCTCTAGTGCCAAATTAATTACGTAATTTATTTAGTATTTAGCATTAAATAGCCCGATTGATTTACGGCATTCGGTTGGTGTCTTAGCTTATGTATGTTGGATTCAGAAGGGACAAATTATTAGGTGACTACAAATCTTTACAAAAAATGTTGTGATAAAGATATTTTACTATATGAGCTTTAATAAACTATGAAAGTGTAGTTTTTTCATTTTTTTNTTATAAAATTCCTGCATAAGAATTTGCTACACAGGAAAATAAATTCACTTATTTTTCCATTAATTTTTAATCTTATATTAACAATTAACTTATTAGCATTATTTCACATATTTCGTTTTGCAATGATTAAAAAGTTTATCTAAAAATAATGTCAAAGCACACAGAAACTAACTGCAAACAAGAACATTTATTAGTCTGTATATCAACTTCTAAGACCTATAACATTACCTATATCAAACAATATAGTATTTTCCTATAATTCATAAAAAGTGACCATAAAACATAACATACCTAACACCAATATTAAACATTTCCATTATTGGTCTGCCTTGAACCCATCCTATAATCATAATTAAACCAATTATACCAAAAGAATATAATGATAACTGTTTGCCCAAAGAATCCATGCTTTTCTGTAATGGTGTTTTTGGAGCCTAAGAAAAAGAATATCAATGTAATTACATACTTAAAATTTTAAATCATAAACAATGAATTTATTATTTAATAAATGTTAATAAAATACCTCTTCAGCCTGCATCATTTTAAAAACTTCACCAAATTCAGAACTTTCACCTGTACTTATCACAATACCCTGAAATAATTAGAAAAAGTCACTAATTTCTGAAACTATAGATAATAAATATATACGAAATACCTACATATTTATATACAATACATAAATTAATATTTTACCTTTCCATTTCCACATCTTACTAAGGTTCCCATAAAAGCAATATTCTGTCTACTTGAAATACCATTTGCATTTTCTAAAGCATGTGTAACTTTATTAGCTGGTTCTGTTTCCCCTGTAAAACTACTTTCATCTATTGCAAGATCTACAGCCTAAAATAAAATTTCAAATTTATTTTTCAGAAAATAATTCAAAATTTCTCTTTTATAACTTAATTTTATATCATCATTTTTACATACTTTATGTTTACAATAGTTTAATATTTCAGATTAAGAAAAACTAATTAATTGGAAAATTTAATAGAATTTAGAAAAAGATTTATATATTTAATATTTGTAATTGTTAGCAGCATTGAATATTTATTATTAACTCCTAATAAACAGTTTTTCTGCATTTTCTTAAAAATTAATGAAAATCAGTTCTAAATAAACTACTGTAAGGTTAACTTGGTATAACAGTATTACCAGTATTTACCAGTCAACATTTGAAAATCCATTCCTTCTAATTATAGGCTGACTTGTATTAAATTTTATAACTAAAATTTTATTTAGTTTCTTTATAGTTTTTTTATTATAATACATTCTAATTACATAAAATATATTTATGAATTTAATATCATTAATTAACAGTTAATTAAAAGAATTCAATATACAAAGCTCATATCTGAATGCTATAGCAGTATGAATTTACAATATGGAATATAGCAAATAGAACTGTTGGAAAAATTCATTAAAAAGTTAGATTTCAGTTTAAATAGAATAAATCAAATCTAAATTTTGATTATATATTAGAAATCTTATAATGAGTATGCCATATAATTTATATATATATATTCCTTCACATTCTGGTACAATCAAGAGAATTACAGAATACACTTTAAACATGTTATAAACTAAAGCATGCTAATAGAAATACTTTCTTTCTTTGTTACCATTTGGATGAACTTACAATTGATATACAGTAGAAACCACTTATTGTGATCAATATATGACTAGCCTATATTGATAAGAACAACTGACTGATACATTAAGCAGGATAAGTAAATAAAACTACAATTTAATGTCATTTTTGATTTTATTGATTCTGACATTAAAAGAGCATGTTAAAACAATTAAAAAATAATTTCAAGATTTATTAATGATAATTATTGTTACCAATTAATAATAATTCATCCAGTATTGTTTGCTTGTATCACTTTTAACAGTTTAGTGCAAGCAAACAGCAATTAAAGCAATTGACGATTTTTAAATTAGACTGAAAACAATAACTAATAACAAATGAGAACTTGCCCTGTAAGCCTTGGTAAATGTCTATGTATTAACATAAAAGCTTACAAAGTTTTGTGTAGAACAGCTGTTAAACCATGGGTCCTTTGATTAAAACTGCAAAAAAAATTTACATTTGTTGTATGATTTCATTTTTTATGAACATCTTCATAAAACCACCTGAATCCAGAGACAAAAATACAAATTTAATGAGTGAACTAAACATTTTTGATGTTATTTAAAGATCATCATCAGGTTCTTATGATAGAACAGAAAACAATTTTAAAATACAAATGATCAAACAATTTGAATCATATTACATATTGTATGCACAAGGGTTGAATACACAAACTGATTAATATTTAACATAAAAATTAAATACATAAAAATAGTTAAAATAAAATAGTTTAATTTATTGTCTCTCTGTTATTATTACACTTTTATTAATTTTAATCTCCTTTTATATGTTTATTTATTTATGTAATGTACTTTTATTTATATTCATTTTGTATTTATTTTTATTTTAAGTTATTTGCTTTAGATATTTTATTTTAACTATTAACCAATTTATATATTCAATCCTGTGTATCTGATATGTAATATGATATAAATCATTTGATTGTTTATTTTTAAAGATGTTTTCTGTTCTAAGAACCTAATGATGATCTTTAAATAAGATTAAAAACATTAGTTCACTTATTAAATTTGTTTTTTCCCACAGTTTACAAGTTACTGAGAAATGATAAAAAGAATGACAACCAGATCGCTACCTCCGGCATTTACTCTATACCAATCAAAGATCTTCGTTTTGATTCAGATAGTGTTTATGTAGGTGCTACTTTGAGAAGCTTGGAACAAAGAATCAAAATACTCTATTAGAAAAAACAATATTTTAGCATCTTACGCTAACCAACAGGAAGTTGAGGTTATATGGAACCAAGCTTCCATTATTAGTCCCACATCTAACAAGCACTCCATCAAACATCTTGAAAAACTTGAAATTTATAAAACCCAAGTGAAAACATCTTGTATCAATCATAGGGACGCCGACTCTTTGTCCACAGCTTGGAAATCATTTTATGAAGATAAACTGTAATTTTTAGGAGACATTAATTTTTAATGCAAAACTATTGAGCTTTTTATATTCTTATATCCCTATTCTTTTTGTATTTATTCCCCTAAGGGCACAACATTACAAACACATGCGCACTTATTATTTTTTCATAATTTTAATTTTTGTTCAATTTCTTTAATGTTCTTTTTACTTTAGTGTTTAACTGATAAAGATCGTTAAAGATGATCAAAAACGTTCTTACAATATTAAATTATTTTCTGGAGTATTTAAAAGGTGGTAATTTTGTATAACTCAAACTACATGCAATTATAACTTAAATAAAAATAATGTGAAAAATAATATATTGTTATATACAATATATAAGTTTTGTTTACAAAATTATCCAAACATCATGCATTTCAAAATATAATACTATTTTTAATTTCAATTATAATAGAGATATGAAACTAATCAGGGGGGATGCTATAAAGAGCTTGGATTTTTTTCTATGATTAAAGAAAATGTTTTAGTTTCTTCCTCTTGGACCACATGAATTACAATAACATTCAAACAAATAATAACAAAAATAGAATAGAGATTTCATCCTACATTACATTTCAGTACAGAATACAATTGTAACATGATAAAAATCAATTTAATCATAGATTATATAATTGTTATATTCTATTTTGATACATTTATATGTATCAAAATAGTATTTATATGTATCAAAATATGTATTTATATGTAATGAGCTACCCATAAGTTAAATACAACTTCTGGATAAGAAGAGCTTATTCATAATATGATATCAGGGTATTGTAATTTATTCGTGATAATTTGATTATAGTTATTTTTTACTAATTTTAATGTAATTAAATTTTAATGTAATATTAAAAATTATTTACCTCAAACAGCCTTAAGTCTGCTGGAACTCTATCACCAATATTTAATAATACAATATCTCCAGGAACTAGATTCCTAGCTAAAAATGTTTCTGCATGTCCATCCCTGAGACTAAACAACATATATATTCAGTATATTAATTTTTATCATTGTAATCTATATAATGAATTTAAAAACTTAAAATTATTGTATAACAATTAGAATTTTGCAACTAATAAAGAATAAAAAACAAATAAATAAATATAGAAATATAAAATAAATCTTGTAATTGATTATTTTTTTAAATATATATTTATCAATAAATATTGAAATTTCAAGAAGAAAAATAACAACATATAGCATATATAATATTGTTATACAGTTTATATGAACATAAATCAACATTTTATCATCACTTACTCTAATTATTTGCATTTTTATTACAAAATATAAAAAAAGAATTCTGTTAATGAAATTATTTATCATTTCAAATTATATTTGTTATTATATTCAAAATTTAAACTAAATGTAACCATTATATTTAATATATAATTTCTAAGTTTAACTTAATAATAAATAACATTTTTTCCAAACAGAAAATTATTTATTATTCAATAGAAAAACATTTTTCTGCTACAAATCAATTTTAATTACTTTATAACAGCAGCAGAGTTTACAGGCTTAAAAACATAAAAATATCAAATAACATTATTGCATTAATAAAAATCATTGAAAGTCCATTTGGAACTGGCAGTGTACCTTAATAAGCATTTCACTTTACTATTAGTTGATATTTAAATGTAATAATAATTGTTAAGATAACATTCTGTAGTGGCATTAATTAATACACACTTTCATTTTATAATGATTGTAACTAGGAGCTTGATTTATATGTATTTAAAATTGTAATATAAGTAAATACATATGCATGTAAAAATGCCAGATATATACACTACAATACCTAAAATATGCATTTATTGTAAATGTTAAATGCATCAGTAATATACACTAAAATTTATAGATTGAAATGCATGTGTACTTCTGTCTGCAAGCAAATCTTAATAATAATGTCTATTACATTACACTTTTTTAGGTAGGAAGGAATAAACATGACAATAGATGTCTCAGATTCAAACTGTGTACAATTCCCCATTTGTTTTCTAAGGAGGCTGTTTTCCTGCAAAGTTTCTGCAGTTTCTCTAACCTTATCCTTCTTAAGGGTCTGCATATCTCCACCTCTTAGCAACCACCATCAACAGAATCAAGAACCTATACATCTAACTATATTTATTTACATCAAATATTTACAGGAAACTATTTACAATAAGTTATTATACATGGATATTACACAACTAATCACTTGAAAGAATTCTTTTATCATCTCATCCTATCATGCCTCTTCTTCTCTTCCCATGATTCCTGTTTTTAAATCGTAAGCCCTGATCAACTAACAGGTCAGGATTCCACCACATGATACCCACATGGATCCCACCACATGGTCTTGTTTGTGTTGCACAAATGCTAAAGACAAAGATTCTGATGAATGAATATACTTTTACATGTAACTAATTTGCAGAATTGTTTATATGCTCTCTAACAAAAAATTCCCTGTCATTCTTTGTTTACATTCAATCATTCAAATGGACATTAACAGTAATTAATAGCACCCAACCCTGACAAGAAGATACATGAGATTTAAAAATTATGACTCAAAACATATTTTAATAATATTTTATATATGAAGAGGTACTCAATCAAATCAATTATGAATAAAATTACTTGTTCAATAAAATTTTATAACTTTCTAAGCTATCTTATTTATCATTATTGAATTTATTTTATTTATATACAATTTTTTGCAAGATGCTTGAGAATGAGTAAATTAACCTAGTTCCCCTTTGTCCTAGTTATGTTACTGGTCTAGTCATATATTTTTGTTTATAACCCTAATGATGAGAAATGAATAAATGCTGTTATTAAGTTATTAGCTAATTACAGATTTAGTATCATAGTTGATGATAATGTTTCATTCCAAACTGATATCATGAACATTACTAAATTTAGTTTCAGTGCCCAACTAGAACTTAAAATTGTTATTTTGGCTTATTTTGATGCTTCATGTTGTGCTGATGTAAGGATGTTTCAATGTGCTGAGATAACTGAAACTATTTTTTAGCATGAAATGATTTGTGGCATACATTACAATAAAGACTTTCTATCTATTTTAAATGTCTAGGATCCAAACTCTATATATTTTCTTAGCAATTCAGTATTAGTATTTGCTGCTTTATCCATATAATTGATTGAATCAAACTCAATATAAAGAAACTTTATCATGCATACTCCATATGTGGAAGTTTGACTACTTCATTCATAAGAAATTATCATCCTTATATTTAATTAACTATATTTACACAACTTTTGAATGATTTAAATTTAACACTATTACATTAACAAATATAACATTTACAATAATTTTAATACAATTNCCATGTCTCGTGAAATTGTTATGTTGGACATGCGCATTCGTGTGGGTAGCCAGCGTGGCGGTGTTGGCAATTAAAGATCGGTGTCCTATACAATTTTTTGCAAGATGCTTGAGAATGAGTAAATTAACCTAGTTCCCCTTTGTCCTAGTTATGTTACTGGTCTAGTCATATATTTTTGTTTATAACCCTAATGATGAGAAATGAATAAATGCTGTTATTAAGTTATTAGCTAATTACAGATTTAGTATCATAGTTGATGATAATGTTTCATTCCAAACTGATATCATGAACATTACTAAATTTAGTTTCAGTGCCCAACTAGAACTTAAAATTGTTATTTTGGCTTATTTTGATGCTTCATGTTGTGCTGATGTAAGGATGTTTCAATGTGCTGAGATAACTGAAACTATTTTTTAGCATGAAATGATTTGTGGCATACATTACAATAAAGACTTTCTATCTATTTTAAATGTCTAGGATCCAAACTCTATATATTTTCTTAGCAATTCAGTATTAGTATTTGCTGCTTTATCCATATAATTGATTGAATCAAACTCAATATAAAGAAACTTTATCATGCATACTCCATATGTGGAAGTTTGACTACTTCATTCATAAGAAATTATCATCCTTATATTTAATTAACTATATTTACACAACTTTTGAATGATTTAAATTTAACACTATTACATTAACAAATATAACATTTACAATAATTTTAATACAATTAATTCAAAGTATTTTGAGAATTTGTTGAAAAATCAGAAATTTTCATGACAATACAAAATGTGTTAATTTGTGAGATTTTAAAAGAATGTTAGATAGTTCAAATTTGAAACATTTGAATTTTGCACATTCATCTGTAATTGAATGGCAGAGTGATGTTTCTCACATCTGTACTTGTGTAAAAAGTGATTCACTGCATAGACAGGAAAAACAGACTATACAGATCAATATAAAAAAATTAGTACTTGTATCATGCAAACAAGCTATAAAGTTTATAAAGTACTTATTTAGTCTCAAGAATGGTCAAATCTGCAAAACATGCAGTAAAAATCATAAACACACTATTCTATGTGTTTTTAAAAAATGCATATAAAATATTCATTATTGAACAACCTCAATTTGATCAATTTAGACCCAAATTGTGTTTATGTCAAAGTTTCAAAATCATAGCATTTAAAGAAAAACATGTCCATGCATACAAATCTGGCCCTTAATTATAGCCTAACAAACTTCTTGAAAATAAACAGCATTTGAAAAATTACAACAATTATACAATAACTAGTGAAAATGAGCAATAATTAATAAAAAATTGAAAATGCTTATTATTATATCAAACTAATCAGACTGATAATTTATAAAATAAATATTAATATAAATAGAAAATTGTATTTTAAAATCTACAGTTCATTTTTGGTAAATTTCTTAGTGAAATCATTTTGCATTAAAGATGTGATAAGTAATTAATATTTGGAAAGAAATGTAATTTCATTAAAAAAAACAATAAACAGAATTTATTGCATTCAGTTTTCCTTTTCTTGTTAAATTTTTATATCTAAAACTTTAAAATTATATCCTAAATATTTTATATTAAAAATTTACTTTTTAAACTCTAAAATTATATGAAAAATTTGATAATTAAATTATTCTAAAACAATCTACTTTTTGTTACTAAATAAGTATATATATAATCTATATTCTGACATTTATATACATATCATCTTTCTGGATGTTTCTATTTTAACAGAAAAACCATTATTTCCTTATACTTTAAAATGTAGAACATTGCACAAAACACAATATAAATAAATTTGAACACCAACAAAGTTTAGATATATATATATATATATAAAAACAGCAAACAGACTTTCACTGATAAATAGATTCTTACATTGTTCACATATTTTAATCCACAAAAAGTTTTGATCTATTTAAATTTGGTTCATCATTTTTAATTCATAGAAATTTTTTCCTAATTTTATCATTGAATTGATGCTTAACTATTTTAGCTAATAAAATAAATATTGAATAGATTTTCTTATAAAAAAATAATTTTTTAAATAAATGTAAAATATAATAAAAATAATAACATGTTTCTAAAAATAAAAAATAAATAAACATATATAATATATAATCCATTGGAATCATCCAATTTTTGTCATTTAATGCAAATTATACAAATTCCACATCCAATGTGATAGATTTATTTTAGTAAACTTTTAGAGTAAAAAAATTAATCATTTGTAACCAATCATTGTTTTAAGAAAGATAAACAATACAAAATTTTTCCCTTTGAATTTGAATGTATTAATATATAAATATTTTATTGAAATAAAAATTTAATTTATTTTTTTACTTATTCTATGCCATTATAGTATAATTTATTCAAATCTCTATAGTTTGTTTTGCATAAGAATTATATGTAAGTTATTACTAATACATTTCACATCAATATTTGATTAGTTAGTAAGTGTCTCTTTATAAATTTTAAACATTTCAAAGATAACAAAGAATATATTCAGTATACCTGTAAAAAAATTGTAAAACAAAATAAAGAAAAAAATGACGTTCGAATGATAACTGAATTGTCTATCTGGAAAAAATTTATAACTAAAATTTCAATATTACATGACTTAAATCAAACAAAAACTGGTTTATGCTGCTTCACAACAGAATTTAACAATGT